AAAAAGTGTGCAACTAAGCCCACCACCTTGTGGCACGCCTGTTTCCTGGACAAATGTTTGGGAGAGAACACTGCCCACACGGACACGGAATGTCCGGTTTGTCAGGTAACTTTCGATTATATGAAACATTCTTCCGCGCACACCAAGGTGGGACAGGTCTCTTAGAATTCCAAAACGCCATGTTGTATCATAAGCCTTTTCGATATCGAGGAACACAAAGAGAAAATATTGTTTATGGACGAAGGCATCTCTGATCTGTGCCTCAATGTGAACAAGGTGGTCTGTGGTAGATCTATTTTCTCGAAACCCGCACTGAAATCGGTCGAGCAAATTGTTTGTTTCAAGGATATGTATAAGTCGGCAGTTTATCATTTTTTAAAAGACTTTGCACAAGCAGCTTGTAAGTGCAATAGGCCTATAACTTGACGCTAAAGAAGGGTCCTTGCCCTCTTTCAAAATGGGAATAATAATAGCCTCTTTCCAGGAGGTAGGCATAGTTGCCAGAAAACCAGATAGCATTGTACAAACAAAGTAAGGTTTCTCGTGTTTCGGCTGGTAGGTTTTTTAACATTTCATACACCACACGGTCAGAACCTGGGGCAGAAGTACTGCAGGAGTTTAGAGATGTTCGGAGCTCAGCTAAACTGAAAGCTTGATTGTATGCTTCGTATCTAGTGGATTTGTGTTCGAGTTTCTGCTTTTCTATTCTTGTTCTGTATTTTTGGAAAGTGTCAGTATAGTGGGACGAGCTGGATACCCGTTCAAAGTGTGCACCGAGGAAGTTTGCCTGATCTTCCAAGGTATCACCCTGAGTGTTTACGAGTGGAAGTGTGTGTACTTGTTTTCCTGCTATCCTACCGACCATGTTCCAGACTTTAGCCTCCTGTGTGTATGAATTAACCCCTGATAAAAACTTCTGCCAGCTTTCTCTTCTGGCCTGCCGACGCGTTCTCCTGCCTTGAGACTTTATTTTCTTGAAGGTTTCAAGATTTTCGGCTGTCGGTGAGTTCCGCAGCAGCCTCCAAGCTCTGTTTTGCTGTTTGCGCGCGTTTCGGCATTCAGAGTTCCACCATGGCACACATTGTTTCCAGGGTGTCCATTTGTTTGTGGGATGCATTTTTTTTGCAGCATCAATCAAAAACGCTGTGAAGTAGTTCACAGCAACATCAATGTTCAAAGTACAGATGTCATTCCAACCTAGACAAGCGATAGTATGAAACTTCCCAGTCGGCTCTGTTCCCAGTCGGCTCCCAGTCGGCACTTGGGAACACGTGGTGGACACTCAGTTACTGTCGTTGTGCTCAAAACTACGGGGAAGTGGTCACTTCCGTACAGATTACTGACGACTTTCCACTGGAGTAGAGGCACAAGAGATGGAGATACTATGCTCAGGTCTATGGAGGAGTAGGTGTATTAGCGAGGTTATAATAGGTTGGTTCTTTTCGATTTAGGAGACACGCGCTCGACGAGATAAGGAACTGTTCGATCAGTCGACCTCGCGCGTCATACCGAGAGTCACCCCATAGCCTGCTATGCGCATTAAAGTCTCCAATCATCTTCCAAGGTATCACCTTGAGTGTTTACGAGTGGAAGTGTGTGTACTTGTTTTCCTGCTATCCTACCAACCATGTTCCAGACTTTAGCCTCCTGTGTGTATGAATTGATCCCCGATAAAAACTTCTGCCAGCTTTCTCTTCTGGCCTTCCGACGCGTTCTCCTGCCTTAGGACTTTATTTTCTTGAAGGCGTCAAGATTTTCGGCTGTTGGTGAGTTTCGAAGCAGCCTCCATGCCCTGTTCTGTTCCTTTCGCGCATTACGGACACTCTGTGTTCCACCATGGGACGTGTCGTTTGTCGGGCATTCCATATGTTTGCGGTATGCACCTGGCTGCTGCGTCAGTTAGAAAAGCTGTGAAGTACTGCACAGCTTCATCTATGTCTAACCTACATATGTCTGTCTAACTCAAACGTGTAGTGTTGTGGAACTGTTCCCAGTCTGCTTTGTTCATCAGCCATTTGGGAACATGTACAGGACATTCATATGTTGTTTGTGAACTGAACACTACAGGAAAATGGTCACTTCCATATAGATTACTTATGATTTTCCATCTCAGTAGGGGTAGGAGTGAAGGTGATACGATGCTGAGGTCTATAGACAAGTAAGTTTTGTTGGCAACGTTATAGTATGTTGGCTCTTTCCTATTCAACAAACAGGCACCGGAAGAGAAGAGAAATTGTTCAATGAGACGACCTCGTGCAACACAGCGAGAATCGCCCCACAGTCCACTATGTGCATTTAGGTCTCCAAGAAGCAAATAAGGTTCAGGCAGTTCGTCTATTAAACACTGGAATTCACGTCTTTCAAGACGTTGGTGGGGAGGTACATACAAAGAGCAGATGGTGACGAGTTTGTTTAAAAGTAGCGCTCGAACAGCCACCACCTCAAGGGATGTCTGGAGTGGTAAATGTGTACACGCTACTCCTTGGTTAACAATAATGGCTACGCCACCGGATGACGCCACAGCATCATCTCGGTCCTTTCGGTATATGACGTAAGCACGTAAAAAATTTGTATTGGAGGATTTTAGGTGTGTTTCCTGTACACACAGCACTTGAGGTCAGTGTTTGTATAAAAGCTCTTGGACGTCGTCGAGGTTTTTAAGCAGGCCTCTGACGTTCCAATGAATAATTTGTGTTTCCATATTGGAAGTAAGGTAGTGCTGTGTGTACGTTAAGGGAGTGACTTGTTTAAGGTGAAAGGTCAAGCTCAAGTAACAGGGCTATTATCAGGCCCTGTTATGAGCTTTTTAGTTCTCTTGGCGCCCTCCAGAGAGCCGCGCCGCTCTTTTGGCACAAAGGGTGCCGCTGTATCCATTGCCTCCTCGGAGGCACTGGATGCCAACTCATGCGAGCTGGTTTTTCAAAGCTTGGGCCTCGCCTGGCAAGGCGAGGCCTTGAGACCCGAGGACCCTGGAGTCTCTGGTCTCTGTTCCAATAGTAGGCGGAGTAGACTCAACTACTGCCGCCTTGGGGGCAGGCGCCACAGCCAATGGCTCGCACTGCGCAGGCCGAAGGAGTGGCGAGGGCTGGTGCGACACTGCCCCCTGGCACGCCGCATCAGCATATGTGGGGCCATAAAATGGCGAGACTCTTTTTCTTGCTTCTTTAAATGTAATGTTTTCTTTTATCTTTAACGTGATGGTCTATTTTTCTTTTTTCCAGAAAGAACAGGAACGTGAGTACGCCGCATGATTACCCCCACAGTTCACACAGTGTGCAGGTGCTTCGCAGTTGTCGGACGCATGGCCCACGACTCCACACAGAGCACAAGTTTTCCGGCCATGACAGCTTTGCGAGCCGTGGCCATATCTCTGACATTGGAAGCAACGGTGGGGGTTGGGAATATATGGTCTCACGGATGTCTTTGTGTACCCAGTCTGAATAGTTTCCGGCAAATCGCTCGAAGCAAAGGTCAGTACTAAGTGTTTGGTTGGGATTTCCTTTTGATCTCTTCTGATCTTAATACGCTGTCCGTTTGTCACGTTCTGGCTCTTCCATCCTTCCAGAAGTTCAGCTTCGGTCAGCTCAAGCAAATCTACGTCCGATACGACCCCGAGAGATGAGTTCATGGACCTGTGTGGCGTAATACTGATGGTTGTGTCTCCAAACGTTGTGAGGGTGTTCAGTTTATCGAATTGGTTTTGGTCACGTATTTCAAGGAGTAGATCTCCGCTGGCCATTTTGGTAACCTTGTACCCAGCGCCGAGAGTTTCGGTTAGGCACCTAGCCACTATGAAGGGGGATACAGTTCTGGCTTGTTTGTTAGTTTTTTCGCAGTGTATAACATGAAAATGAGGAAAGATTTGTCTAGGCCGAATAAAAAAATTGATGTCTTCGGTGCGTACCCGCTTTGAGGAGGCACGATCACTAAGTAAAGGGAATGCTTTGTGCATGCTAATTGAATGTTGTTCAGCAGCGTTGGCGGCCACCCACCACGGAGCCCAACGAGGGGACGCTGCAAGTTTGCGGATGCTGAAAGCTTGCAGACGTCAGCCGTACAACCCTGCTATAACTCAATGCGCCTAGGCCAAGGTAGGCTATTTGCACAGGGTTAACCCTTGCCGCCGAGAAAATTGGAAGTAAGCAGAAGAGAGAAGTAGACAGGAAAGCTAAAAAAGTAAGAAAGACGAAGATGTAGGGAGAGAGAGATAGGAAAAGGCGACTGCCGATTTCCCCTGGGTGGGTCAGCCCAGGGGTGCCGTCTACGTGAAGCCGGGGCCAAAGGGGTGTGTTGCCTCTGCCGGGGGGCCTTAAAGGTCCAATCACCCAGCGTCGGCTCAACCCCCAGAATCCCCCTTTTCCCCGGACACGGTAAAGCCACGCACGGCTAGGCGTGGGAGGGAGAAGAAACTCCCTCGTTAGCTCGGGTCCGTGGTGTCGCTACACACCAAACGCCTACTTGCGCAGGCGCCCCTGCGGGGAAGACACCAGCTATGCTTTGTCCTTGTGTAACTATTTTAATTGCATGCTACGCAGCGGGTGTTGCTATACAAAGATTAGTGTTCAGTGAGGAAGAAATAAATGCGTAACTTTTTTTATGTATCCACGACACTGCAGAACTTGCTGTGGTGAGGTCCCCTGATGGTGCTGAGAGGTCAATAAAGTGACGGCAAAGACGCACAAGCACATGCACTGAAGCAAGAGCCGTTCAGCCACCTTCAACTTATCTCCCAGCACGTGCCCACATGGTGCGTGCTAAGAAAAAAGAACAAACCACGTTGGCCGATCAGACTGAGAGAGAAGCTGTAGCGAAGAAGACGCGTTGGCCTGGCTAGACGTCAACGTTCAGGAGGCCAGCACTGCCAGAATATACCTCATGGGAAGCCAACAACCGAAGGACTTCGTAAACAGCACGCCTTCTGCTCCGGCGCAGCGGACACAGTAACTGCGACAGCCCGCCTGGCCCTTCTCACTCAACAGCATCAACGCTGCCTGGGCTGCTTCATCGATCTTCAAATGGGTAAGCATGCCATTTGTTTGAAATGACTTCTTAACGACGCTTTGTATGCTATTTTGCTTGCTCTGTTTTTGTATTTGTTTTGCTTGTGCTCGTTTCTGTTTAAATATATGTTCGCTGTGCCCCTTGTGTCCTATTCCTTGCAATCTGAGCCAGCATCTCTGACATACACAACTAAGCATGTTCCCCAAACCTTAAATAACACTTGTTGCCGTGCATGGAGTGGAACCCTTAAAACTTTGACACCTGCCCAAAATGACTGACAGCTACATCTACGAAAGTGCATTTGGTATAATGAAAGTGAAGTCGAGTCTCCCTTGAGATGAGCAACAGGGTCTATCTAGAAATAGAAGCATTCATAGCATTTAGTGCTCTACCACCAGTAACCAGAAACATGGCAGAGTTCATTGGAAAAATCGATCATTTGACTCATCTAACAGTTCTTGCGTAGAAAAAATTAGTTATGTAATTGATACTTCAACAAGGCACACTGAATGCTTGCATTGCATGGAGATTCAAGACCAAGGCAAAAACCATTCAGGGCTGGCATGTGACGATTCAAGCGATTTGTACATTGTGGGCAGACCTACAAGAATCCTGTAATTTTAAAATTATGCTTACTTGTCCTCTGATGCAGGACCCTCTTGGAGAACTTCTTTAACTCGGCAGCACCACGGCTGCAATAAGACTCCAAACACATCTGAGTCCATTGCTGCTCTCAGGCCCATCATTTTCAAGAAGCTCTTTGCAGCAACTGGAAAACAAATAAAGATGTTATTCTACTGGGCTAAAGAAATGAAGAAAGTCCTACTGTGGCCGACAACTTCTGCCCAAATCAGTAAGACACCGAGGAACCAGCAGATAAACCAGAACTGAACATAGTTTATGCGTCAGGACACCCAGTACAAGCAGTTTTGAAAAAGGTGCCATGCTGACAGTGCGGGGATCTCTTGAAAGACAAAAGCTAAAATTTGTCTTACCAAACCAAACCTACATGATGTTCAAAGCAGTGACAGTGCGGTGCAAGAATCTAAGAAACTAACAGTGCTCACAGAAGCAGCTTTCAGTTTTGTCAGAAAGTTGGTAAAAGCATTTTCTTTTCAAGTATGTGTTGTGGCCCACTTGAGAGGGATGACTCTGCAACAGCTGCCTCTCCCATGGAAACTCAGGCAATCTATGAGCACCTGTCCATTGAGCAGGTGAATGCACGGCAGACCACCCAAGAGGCAGCGGCAGCCTTCGTGAAGGGCGTGCCAGCACAAGGCATGCTGAGCTTTCGCAGGAAGAAAGGCAGCAAGCCAGCCCGGGCATTCCTGTCATCCACTTTCCTGGGAGACCTCCACCTGCTCCTAAAGGCTATTATGCCTCAGCGAAGCCGCCATTAGTCCAGCGCCCTGCTGTCTCCAGCGTTCCGGAGGACCAGCCAGATGCCGAAGGGCCTTTCCATGAGGTACGATTGAAGGCTACACTGGGGCGTGGGAAAAAACTGGCTGCTGTTGCCCTGCCAGTCAACCCTGCGGTCATGGGGACGGTGCTCTACAGGCCCTAAGCTCCCGGGAGATGCAACGCGGATGCCCTGCTTGAGCTTTGCCCAGGCACTCTTGTCATGCCCTGATGTTGCTGAAATCAGGGTGAACTATCGCCACAACATTGTGGCGCTGAACGTGACCATCAGGGAATGCCTGAAAATGCTAGTGGCCATTTCAGTGCTGCAGTGCATCCCACTCATTGCCAAGGAGCCGGAAGACCACCGGACAAGCACTGGCTACTGCATGGCATCGACGGAGACCCAGAGGCGGAGACCCTGCTGCCTGGCCTTCTGTTCACAGTGCCTGTGTTGTTGGCCACCAGGGAGGGCCGCACGAACACCCTGCAGTTCGGAGACCCTGTTCCCCCAGAACATGCGACGCTGTTCCGTATGCACTTCCCTGTACGACCGACCAGGCCCCAATCACTCCAGTGTGGGCAGTGTGGCCAGTTTCGCCATGTCAAGGAACGCTGCAGCTGGCCTGAAAGCTGCAATACGCTGCGGTCGGACCCACCCTAAGGTGCTAGACTTCCCAAAGACGCGGCCGCGGTGTGTCAACTGAGGTGGCACTCACCCTGCCAACACGACCAGATAACAGCCTACCTTTTGCTGTTCATGCAGCTGGCCGTCGCCCTGCTGCCAGCCGAACACCCTCTACGTGCGATCTGCCTGCAGGCAGTGGCTTTGCAGCACCTTTCTAACCAACATGGCTAGTGCTCCTGCCAGAGCCCGTTTACCTCGCCGTCCGAGCATTATACTGGAAAATGTCAACTCTCTGCAGGGACGGCGGGCTTACTTCTACAAGCATCTTGAGAAGGTCGACCTAGAGGTTCTGAACTTGCAGGAGGTCGATACCCGGGCTGAGGAGGTGCGCCTGCCAGGGTACGTGAGCTACAGCAGCAAGATCGAGCATACCCTGGAAGCCTGCCCTGCTACCCCCTACCCAAACGATCGCCACCAAATGAAGGGAGCCCGGTGTGCCGTCTACGTGAAGCGTGAACTCCACCAGGCCCAGGTGTCTGTGGTTGACCTGGTCGGTCGCGCCTTCGAATGCTGCGCCATTCGAGTACGCCTCGAGGGGGGTGACACCACCGTGGAGACGGTACTCTCAGTGGTTCCAAGGCTGGTTCGGCCAACCAGCCTTGAAACCCTAGGTGCCTACGACAGCTGGCACACAGGCTGGGGAGGTAGTTCGTGCGCTGCGGGAACGTAAACGCACACCACGTAGCGTGGGGCAGCCACAAGACCACCCCACGGGGCAGGGCTCTGAAGGACGTCCTGCAGAAGCTGGGCCTGGTGATAGTGAACACCGGCTTCCCTACTTTCATTCGTGCCGGGAGCCGGGCAGCCCGCACGGCCATCGACATTGGGGCCGCCACGGATGGATGCCAGTACTCATGGTCAAGGGCTCAGGACACGTGGGGCTCCGACCATCTGCCCCTCCTACTGTCTCCCTATTGCGGCTGAGCCCTCAGGGACCGTGAATACTATGTGGTGGGCTGGCGGGTCTACTGGCAGCTGTTCGAGGAAGACACAAGTGACAGGGACCTGATGCAGTTGGGGGCCGACAGTTCCAGTGCAGCAACGATCGTCGCCATGGGCCAGCAGGGGCAGGGGCAGCCCATCTCGAACATGAAACACCTGGCTCTGAGGGGAGCACGGCGGCGAGCAGAGCGACAAGGCCCCGCGAAGGCCCTACTGGAGCTTTAGACTGTATTCCGGAGAGTCGGCGTAGTGTGCAGACACCATACTCTCAGGTTTAGGAACCAAATCTTGGGGAGCATTCGCCGCTCGATGAACGACTCCAATGGTGGTGCTCGTGCCTGGCGCCTGCTCAGGTGCCTACACATGGTACCTCGAGCCTTCAACCAGGTGCTCTCGGTGGCGGTCTACCTGACACTGCCGGGCCATTTGAAGCGTGCATCTCTGTCCGTAGAGGCTCGCTGAATAGCTGACACTTGGGCAGCCATACCCAACACAATGGTGGCAGCTTCTTTCAAGAAGTGCTCCTATTCCAACTCGCTGGTTGGCGTCAAAGATAGTGAAGTTTGGGAATGCGAGAGCAACAAAAAAGCAGTGATGCTTTTGATGATGACATAATGATTATACAGTGGCACGGCTGATTATTGGGCACTTAAAAGGTGGGATATCAAATAAGATTTTTAGCAAAAAATCTCGCCTAATATTAGTGTGCAAACTTTTTTCCTTTTCTTTGGTTCTTCAACTCCCCCTCGCCTTATAATCATGGCCACCTTATATTGAAATAAGAACAGTATTTAGCATATTTTTTCTAAGACCCCCCTCAATGTTAAACTTGCACTTTCGAAAACTTTCGAAAAATAACCCAGTTGTTAGATTGCACACGTTTGTATTTCTTTTTGTGTGCTTGCGCAAAATTTTCAAGATCAGAAAAAGTGCTTTTTGGGGGGGTCAATCCTTTTTTCCGGACTCCCGATTATTTGGCCTTTTCGGCGATTCCCGTCGAGTTCAAATAAACCGGTCGGTGACTGTGTCTGTACATCTTTTTAACACATGCCAAGCCTTTCTATTTGTGATCATATTTCTCTCAGCATGAAAAAGACCCTTTAGCAAACACTTGCCGGCATCATATCAAAATAGTATAAAGACCCGTGTAGACCACTCCTAAGTCCAAAATAAATGAAAAGTCCCGAGCGGGCAGGCAAACTCATCGGGCCCGAAAATAACTCCTCAGGCAAAGGAAAGGTGTCTTGAGAATTAGAAGGGTGAGTACAGGTAATATTCAACTATTCATCAACCCATTAGCCATATTTTTTTACTTCTAGAGAACTGAGCGATGTTCCCGACCATGCCGATTGCCCCAGAAAGGGTGATTAACGAAAAACAGGTAGAAAAATTGTTCATGAAATGTAAACATTTCATGTTTGTGAGGTAACATTTCGTTTCAGGGACAGCCTCGATGCAGCCGTGCCAAATGATCCCTCGGCAGCGAGTGGGTTTGAGGCTGCCGATGCAGAACTTGGCAAACACGAAGCGGCTGCAGCTGAAGGAGAAACTTCAAGCCAGTCACAGAAAATAGAAAAAACGAAAAGAGTACATGGCACTCCGATTCAAGATCTCCAGCACGAATTCAAGAAAAGCCAGAAAGAGAGAGAGGTGCAGTTAATGAGCCTTCTCGAATGCCTGGTGACTGCCATTGAAAGTCAATGTGGCAAAAATTGAGAATTTTCTGTATGCTGCAAAACTTTGGTCTGTTACATCACTCTCATTATCATTTTAACTTCTTTCAGCCGGGCAATTTCTTGGAGCTCAACAAAGAAGTCTTTCTCTTTACTGCATACCTTGTGCAGTACACAAGCAGCAATTATTATAAAGCAGCACTGTTTGACTGTAACAGCATTAACAAAGCAAGGCTTTCGAAAGCATTGTTTCAGATGACCAAAGGCATTTCAATGGCAGATCTCTCCTGAGGGTGGTACTTGTTTTAGCGTTTTTTCTATGCTGGAAAAGTCTGCTCATTATCCCAGTATGACATCAACAACCCCGAAAGCAAGGAGTATGCAGTCTCTCCAAGCAGGTAACTGTCGGCACACGTCTGTCTTATGTCGAAAAAAGGGCCTTCATAAAACACCCTGAAATCGTGTGCAGATCCAGGAAATCCTAGTAAGACGTCAATGAAATTGTTCCCATCATTCCATATTGACAGATGGAAATCTCCTGCGGCTGAAGTATTGAAGTACGAATGCAATGACTCTTTTGGCTTTTTAGTGTCTATGTGGCAACTGTCCACACAGCCTTCGGTGCCCCGCCGTGGTGGTCTAGTGGCTAAGTTACTCGGCTGCTGACCCGCAGGTCGCGGAATCGAATCGCGGCTGCGGCGGCTGCATTTCCGATGGAGGCGGAAATGTTGTAGGCCCGTGTGCTCAGATTTGGGCGCACGTTAAAGAACCCCAGGTGGTCAAAATTTCTGGAGCCCTCCACTACGGCGTCTCTCATAATCATATGGTGATTTTGGGACGTTAAACCCCACAAATCAATCAATGTTGTTGCATTGCAGCCTTCAGTGTTGCTTGGGCCTTTACCTTTGCTCCTCAGCAAAAAGCCAATCTTGATCCACTCTTGCTCATCACTGTCTGGCCAAGAAATGACTCCTTCGTTTATGCCGTTTATAAAGCTCAATACATGCTCATACACGGCTTTTGTACACAAAGAATTTGTAACTCCATTTCATTATGGTTTTGTCCATTTCATTATGGTTTTGTAAAACCATTCCCGATTCTTAATGCATGTGCGAACTGCCAACTAAAATATATCAAGCCTGTCGACACGTATATCAAGCCTGTTCCCACACGTCTCACGTGACAGCCGAAACATCCATTTAAACTCAAAACCAGGACACCAATCAACAACGTCCTAACAATACCTGGGCACGCGATTTCTGTCCAGCTCGCAGATTTCATTGCTACCGCAGCAACTAAGTCATCGTACTCTTAGTTGTCAGAATCGATCAGCTTCATGGCGACTTGCACAACAGTTCTAAGCAGTGCAGAGTTCAACTTCGTACACAAAAGGGACAGGTGGGAGAATGTTAATTCACGCACGAAAAGTGCATAGAGGAACGCACACCTTGTACTCTCGATGCACCCGCTCGCTTGTTTGGAATAAGGCGGAACAATTTGCGCAACAACTGAACTTTGCCATTCGATTCTACGTGGCTCTGCTGTCCATTTAGGTCAGCACCGCTGCAGCTCTGCTGAATTGCACGCAACACGCAACAGAGGTGAACCTTTTGGCCACTTTCGTGAACTGGTTCAGACTGGTGCAGGCAAACCGAACGGACCTATAAGTGTTCAGCAATGGAGATTGAGGCAGTTAGCAAAAAAGGTTAAAGAAAGATTTTCGCGAAGGCAATGTCACCCCAAAGGCTTTTTTCTTTTTCAACTACAGCAGGAGCTCTTTTTTTGTCAAATGCGCTTGTTAGAAGGTCAGCCGGACAAGAATGCAAGTCAAAGGGGAAATTGTGTCATTCGGTTATTGTGGCATTCGGTCATTGTGTGCCCCGCACCCCAAACGAGCGAGCCACCACTGGGGCCTTTGGGACAACGGAGGACGGAAACTTAAGCTCTTGTTTGCGTACTGAGGCTGTTTTTGAGAATGTGCTATGTATTTCCAAAAACTACTGCAGTTTTGTTGTAAGGCAAGATTCACCCGACTACGTTATCACGTGTTGAGATCGGTTATCTTCGGTTAGCCCGATCGGTCCGTATAAGCAGTGTTTCAATTGATGGAAAACGGTAATCTTCTACGTGGTCCACGTACACGTGGATGCTGCATAATGCCGTTTAGTTAGCAACACAGACTTTTTTGGGGAGAGCCAACTCGGGATCAACAGCGCATCTTACCCCCAAAGAGCAGTTATGCGAGGGGTATGCGATCATTTTCTATGTTTTGTATTTGTGACTCAGTGCAGTGCACTGTATAAACTTAAAATGTGTTAGATAAATGAACAACCAATGAGTGCTCTTCGAAATCATTGAGTCACTTCGGATCGCTTGCCAGTGCAGAGTTGTTCCCACACTTCTTAGCCACCCTGGTCTTCGGATGCTTCTAGCTTCAAAAGTTATACCACAATATTTATTGGGCCGACGACAGAGGGAACAAAAACGATCAGTGCTAGAGCCTCCGTGGTTGTTTCATGGTAGAGAAGCAGTCAAGACACATTAGAAAAATTTGTACAATGGACACGATCGTCAAATTCTAAAGACTACAGGTGTTCTTCAACATATTTTAATGCATGAGACAGCGATGATAGCTCAATTTGATTGTTTTGTTTCCTTTGTCCTAAACACCATCCAGCTTGTATGTTGAATTGACCTGCTGAGGATTGCAATGATAGCTCAATCTGATTGTTTTGTTCAGTTTGTCCTAAACACCATCCTACTTGTATTGTGAATTGACCTGCTGAGTATGCTCGTGCATACTTGTGTATGTAATACCTTTACAGCCTTAACCGGAAAGATATTTTGCTTGTGTTATCAAGTATTGACTCTTACTCGGCCTTTGGACCACAACTGGTGTTCGCTGATGTAGTCAAAGAACCTAGCCAAAATTGTTCTCACTTTTGTGGAGCGTTTAAAAGGGCTATTACGTCAGCCCTCAGAATCTTCCGAGTGATTGCTTCCCCATTAACGGGATCAGCGACAGTTTATTGTTTAGCCGAATTTTCTGGAATATTATAGTCTCAAAAATCTTAAACACACAAATGCCACAAGTAGTAGAAATCCAGGCTTTCACTGATGATATGGTATTGGTATTAAGAGCCCAAAACAGGCACAAATGAAAACAAGGGGCCATTGGGCATGCTAAGCAATATGAAAATAAAGGGAGAAAAACAAACTAACATTTTCCTATGGTAAGTGCAAATACCTGTAACTAAGCATTATATCAGATTAAACCACCAATCCTTATATATGAAACACTACTATTAAAAAATGAAATGAAGTAAAAATGCTGAGTCACTTTCAAAAATAACTTTCGTTTTCAACATACTTCTTAATAAAATTAACAATACAAACCATTACAATAGGATAATGATTGGGGAATGTCACTAAAGCAACTAAGACATATTTATACAAGAGGTACCAAAAAAGCGATTGTCTGTGCATCACCAACATAGCATTCAAATAAAAGCCTCACCGTAGGAAATTAACAAGTCTAGAACAGAAACCATTAAATAATATATCCAAACGGTATTGAATAATCCTGAACACACCACTTAATGTGTTTGCGAAAGTTCCCTTAATTAATCTAACAACAGAAGCAGAAAATGAACTTTACCAAATTAAACATAATGAAAAAAAAGTATTTAACTGGAACAAAGAACATTTCACTAAAGCCCCATCTCTCGACCTATGGGCAATTCATCCAGCGAATCTAAAATCAATAAGATGTAACAAATATAAAGGAATAAGACGACTTACTCTTAGCAGAGAGGTCAGCGTCTTGTCATGCCATGGCCGTTTTGACAGGTTTGACCCGGGTGTGCTCCAAGACTAGAGAGGTAGACATATCATGCAATGAACCTAAAGAGAACATAAAACTGTTGCCCTCCAAGTGTTAGTTGACAGACCTTCAAAAAATGAACCAAGTCTGGTACGCAAATGTAATGAGACAAGCAAAAGAAAACACTTCGGAGAGAAGCCTTACTGACCACATCCCCAGCTATATCGAGCTAAGCACCTAGAAGGCAGCTACAAGCACAGTATAGATGTGATCATGACTGCCTTCTAGGTATTATTAAAAAAATGTTAAGATGCTCAAGGAAAATTGAGGCAGTTTCACTCATACAAGAATGTTGACTTCTGTCGGTTGGTTGCAAGGAAAAAAAATGTGCACACTGTCCTGCTTGAGAGTGAGCCCCAATCGAGGTATTTTGTAAGAGCCTGCTGCTCGATGACCATAGGCCTCTCCTGGACCCCCGAAGACATGAGACACTATGTATAGCAGCTACAGCTGTGTCATTATTACAATCATGATAATATTATGAACTGTCAGATCTGTGAAAAAACTTCAAAGTTCAAAACACAATATTGCCACTAGTACAAATTCTACACGTATTATTTATACAGATGCTGGCATGCTTGTATGTGCCACTGTTCAGAAGAGGACAAAGATGCGCGTGCAGAGAAAAACAATAGTCATACTGCCGTTGTTCGAATCAGTTTGACGTCCTTGTGTGCCATTATCTGCAGCTTACAATTACGTTGTAACTCGACACTGGTGGAGGTGCGGGGTAATAGTCTATGCACTGTTCCCACGAGGAAGATCTTGGTCCCAACATCGACGCCTTAGTAGAAACAGCCAACCTTCGACGCGGTCGGCGGCAACTAGGCCTACCACCCCAATTCAGCTCTCTTCCGGAACGCTCCAAAACCATGGCATATGCGACAACTGCAAGCCAGACTGAGCCGACCGCGACTCCGCTGCACCATGGCTACCAGCCTCTCGAACGCCAAAGCCCTTCCATGGGGAGCCCTACGAAGACGAAGACTGGCTGGACCAATACGATCGAGTCGCCGTCGCCAACGAGTGGGACGAGCAGCGGAAACTGCGGTATGTTTATTTTTACCGGGAGGATTCGGCGCGTATTTGGTTCGAGAATCACGAGGCCGCCCTGACAACCTGGCCGGTGTTTTGCACTCAGCTGCGGAACACGTATGGTAGCGCCGACCGGAAAGAACAAGCCGAACGTCTCCTCAATTCTCGCAATCAAAGACCCAATGAAAGCGTGGCCATGTTCGTTGAGGAAATGTCTCGTCTGTTCCGTCGAGCGGATTCTGCAATGACGGAAGACAAAAAGGTACGCATTCTGATGCGGGGTGTCAAGGAGCAGCTGTTTGCAGGACTTGTGCGAAACCCACCAGCTACCGTGGCAGAATTCCTCCGTGAAGCTACGACCATGGAGCGAATGCTAAGACAGCAGTCTTCGCAGTATGAACGGTCCGACAACCTTGCATGTCTGTCAGCACCCTTAGTAACACCCGATGTCACGAGCGTGAGAGACCTTGCTGAGCTAGTCCGTAGCATTGTACGCGACGAGCTGCAAAAGCTTCATGCAGTGCCTTCACAGCCTCAAGTGGCTGCTCTGACAGACGTTCGTGAAGAAGTGCGGCAGCTGGTACGACCATTAGCGCCACCTCCAACCGAAGCTCCTCTGCTAACGTATGCGGAAGCTGTACGTACTCCTGCACTGGCAGCCAGCTATTTCCCCCGACCGGCTAGCCTGCAGACACCACAGCACTTCTCGGGCGGGCCACGCTATGAAAACCAACGACAGACTTGCCTGCAGATGCCGCAGTACTTCTCGGGCCCACCACACTATGAGAATCTGCGGCCTAATTTGCGGAAATCTAGCGTGTGGCGCGCTTCCGACAATCGGCCACTATGCTACCACTGTGGTGAGCCAGGTCACTTGTACCGGGAGTGCTCGTACAGACAGATGGGCCTACCTGGATTTCGGCCAGACGCTCGTCGGCCCAGGGACGGCGAACGACCCCGCGCCATCGCAGAGTACTTGGCAAGTCTACCGTCTCCGAATCTTCAGCGACGCCAATCACGCTCTCCGTCTCCTCGACTCTACGTCCGCGAATCAATACTCCACTTTCGCCGATGTTGTTGCGGGACGATCCGCTAGGTCCCCAAGTCCACGCCGGGGAAACTAGAATCGGCGGCCTCCGGGGGTGGAACCGCTGTTAAGCTATCATCAAAACAGCCTCCTCCGACCCATCCACCGACCTTCGACAATTCCTTTCAGCCGACACCTCACATCGTTGACAAACCCGCTTCTGCTGACATTGCCGTTCATGTCGACAACCATCCAGTGACTGCTCTAGTCGACACCGGCGCCGACTACTCAGTTATCAGCGCTAAACTTGTGGCTGAACTCAGGAAAGTCATGACTCCTCGGGAGATGCACCGCAAGGCTGCAAATCTGTGAGTCGACGTTCATTGCTTCTTTCGTTGTGCTTCCCGAATGCTCCCGGAAAGTTATCCTTGGCATGGATTTCCTTCGTGAGCGCGGCGCTGTTATAAATCTTCGAGACTGCCTCGTAACGTTTGCTGACGACTATGGCCCGAAGCCTAGAGATACCAATCCGCAGAAGACTGCGCTTCGCATTGTCGACGACACCGTCACACTTCCGCCACGCACCAGTATGTTCGTTACAGTACAAGCCGACATAGACCATGACAGTAGTGGTATCGCTGAAGCCAACCTTTCGGTGCTCTTGTCTCAGCAAATCTGCGTTGCCCGCGGAATAATTCAATTTAAACGTGGGATGACTGAGTTGTTGGTAACCAATTTTAGTGGAGCATACCAACATTTGGCCAAGCAAACAACTATCGCTCATTTTGAATCCATCGACGATGAAGCGTGTGCGACGATAGCCCCAATTTCTGCAGCCGTTGAAAGTGACACCGCGGTAGCCGATGCAGTCGATGTCAATCCGAACCTGTCATATGCGCAGAAAGAGCAAATCCGCTGTATCCTCCGCATGTTTAGCGACTGTTTCGCGTCTACATCCAAGATAAAACAAACGCCAACCGTAAAGCACCGCATTGTCACTGACCATGCTGAGCGACCCATACGTCAGCACGCCTACCGAGAATCACAAAAGGAACAAGAGGCTATACGTTCTCAAGTGAAGCAGATGCTCGAAGATAGCGTAATCCAATCCTCGAACAGTCCATGGTCGTCCCCCATCGTACTAGTAAAAAAGAAGGACGGCACTCTCCGATTTTGCGTCGATTACCGCAAACTTAAAATCACAAAGAAAAACGTTTATCCGCTTCCGCGCATCGACGACTCACTAGACCGCCTCCGACGCGCCCGATACTTCTCCTCTATGGATTTACAGTGGCTACTGGCAGATCGAAGTTGATGAACGCGACCGAGAGAAAACAGCATTCATAACGCCTGATGGTCTGTACGAATTCAAGGTGCTGCCCTTCGGTCTGTGTTCTGCCCCTGCGACATTCCAGAGGATGATGGATACAGTGCTCTGCGGTCTCAAGTGGGAAGCATGCCTTGTTTACTTAGACGACGTCGTTGTCTTCTCCCAAACGTTTGAGCAGCATTTGCAGCGACTTAGATCTGTGTTTGCTGCAATTCGCACGGCAGGCATATCACTGAAACCAGAAAAATGTCATTTTGGTTACAACGAATTAAAGTTCTTCGGTCACCTTGTTAGCCCTGATGGTATTCGGCCTGACCCAGACAAAACATTGGCTGTCGCAGATTTTCCACCACCTACCAACAACGTGATGTGCGTCGATTTTTAGGCCTCTGCGCATACTACAGACGCTTTGTGCAAAATTTCGCAAACATTGCCGAACCCCTCACTCGTCTGACAAAAGACGACGTTCCCTTCGTGTGGGGTCTTGAGCAAACGCGCTTTCTCTGAGCTCCAGCAGCGTCTCCAGTCTGAGCCCTTACTCGGACACTACGACGAATATGCCGACACTGAACTACACACAGACGCCAGTAACATCGGCCTTGGTGCAGTCCTCGTCCAGTGGCAAGGTGGCGTCGAACGCCCTATTGCTTATGCGAGTCGGATTTTATAATGTGCGGAGGCGAATTACACAACAACTGAAAAGGAGTGCCCAGCTGTTGTCTGGGCAATAGCTAAATTCAGACCGTACCTGTATGGTCGCCCGTTCAGAGTTGTTACCGATCATCATGCGCTCTGCTGGTTGGCGAACCTTAAAGACCCTTCCGGACGTCTGACCAAGTGGAGCTTATGCCTTCAGGAGTTCGATTTGACAGTCGTGTACAAGTCTGGCCGGAAGCATACTGACGCGGACTGCCTTTCCCGAGCTCCTCTTAAGACAGCATCAGGTGATCACGATCTCGACGGCCGTTTTCTCTGCGCCGTTAATGTATCCGACTTGAATGAACAGCAGAAGAACGATTCTGGGCTTCGACAACTCATCGAATATCTCGAAGGCCGTACGCCGCACCCACCACCAGCATTCGCCCGCTCGGCATCATCGTTCTGCGTCCGCAGAAATATCCTCTATAAAAGAAACTTTGACCCTAACGCGACTGAGTACCTGCTCGTTGTCCCGCCAGTGTTACGAGCCGATGTCTTGTCCGCCTGTCACGATGAGCCTTCCTCAGGCCACTTGGGATTCACGCGTACCTTGGCCCGGATTCGCCAACACTCCTACTGGCCTAAGCTCAGTCGAGACGTGAAGCATTACGTGAAGACGTGTCACGAGTGCCAGCGCCGTAAAGCACCACATCAGCGCCCAGTAGGCTTTTTGAAGCCCGTCGCTCCTCCGACACAACCGTTCGAACAAATTGGCATGGATCTACTCAGACCTTTTCCCAAGTCTCGTGACGGCAACCGCTGGATTGTAGTCGCTACTGATTACATGACGCGCTACTGCGAAACGAAGGCATTACAACGTGGCGCCGCCATTGAGACTGCCCACTTTTTTATGAAAAACATCGTCCTCCGACATGGAGCACCAGCAGTTGTCATAACTG